GCCAGTAGCAGAGCGGGCGCACCCAACCACCAAGCCACGGGGCCGGCCCACAGTGTTCATTTAATGAGTACCTACTACGTGCCAGGCATTTAACATATATCTCATTGAATCCTTATACCCACCCTGTAAGCCACGTATCATTATCTTCCTTTTATAGTTCAGGAAACTGAGGCTGAGAGAGGCTAAGAGACTTAACCATGGGTACACACCTAGTAAGTGTCAAAGCCAAGACTGAAACCATGTATATCTGAATTCGAGGCCTGCGCTGTTTCCACCACATTACCCTGCCCCTTGGGTTTCAAACTGCGAACACTCAGGAGGACCATGACTGCCACCTACATAGATCTGAAGGGCCATTAATGCCCTTGTCCTGAGTTACTCCAGGAGGAGGTTATGATAAACAGCCAGATTTAGGTTCAATAAAGAATTTTCTACCGAACTGAGCTGTTCAGAACAGGTAATAAATGGTTAGTCATCCAGCCTCTGATTGAACATTTAAGTGACCATCTGTCTAGGTGGCAGAATAATGGCTTAAGGTATTGGGTAGGAGACTGTACTCACTGGCCTCTGAGGTTCTTTGTAACTCTGAGATACTGATTCCTTCTGGCCAAGTCACCTTGAAGAATCTCAGGTCTAAGCAAGGGGGCCACTCTATTTCAGAGCAGACCAGGAAAGAGGAAACCCAGCAGGTTGGCTTCCACCTGGGCTGATACCCGGGAACCAACATAATGATGCCAGGATGGTCAGGACTGGGCCTTGTCCCCATGGGACGCATATCCAGGAAACCCTGAGACTATCCAGATTGAGTTTCTTACTTTAATTGGCAGGAAACAGGGATAATTTCACTGTGATCTAATCTTCTCAGCGACCTTTACTAAATAAAAAAGTTAAAATCCATGCTCTACCCTACATTACACTTAGTAAAAAAGCCAATCTTAAAACATCACATACTGTATGACTCCATTTTTATAACCTTGAAATGACAAAATCAAAGAGATGGAAAACAGATCAGTGGTTTCCAGAAGTTATGGATAGTGCAGGGGGAGAGAGTGGGTGAAACTATAAAGGGGTAGTGCTAGGGAGATCTTTGTGGTGATGGAATAGTACTGTATCTTGGTTGAGGTGATGATTACATACATACGTGCACACGCAAACACACTCAGGGGCGCAGGGCAAAAGGGACAGTTGGCAAAGGACTCCATACCTCGAAAGATGTCCAGGATGTGTTTTCCCACATACCAACAGATGGTCTCAAAGTTGGGGAACTTGAAGAGGTCTGCTGTGCTCAGCCGCTTCTCAATCTCATAGGCTCTGGAGGAAGAAGGCACAACGATAACAAGGATCCCCTTTACTCAGCACCTGCTATGTATCAGGTATTGTTCTGGATGCTCTGTATCCATTATCTCTAATCCTCACAACTACCCTGTAAGACCCTACTTTATGGGTTAGGAAACGGGCTCAAAGGTTATGTGACTTGCCCAAAGTCATTTAACTACTAAGTGAGGAAGAGGTATTCATCCTCGGACTGAACATCATCAGGAACCAGTATCCATTCCTTTCTGATGATCTCGTCTCCTTCTATGCTGCACTCCTCACTATAGGGGAGAACCCAAGGACTGTAGCAAATGGGAATGGCCAACTAGGGATCACCACAGCTTCAGGACTCACTTGAGCTGCATTTCGATATTAAGGCTGTGTAAGAAGTTCCCTCCAAAGGCAAGGCAGTCCACGGGGGTAAGCACAGCATGGATCCATCCTGCATTGTAACAAGGCAAAATCATAGCTGGCAGAGGGCCATTCTTCCTTCGGACATCTCTGCTGTTCGCTCGGCTCAAACACAACTCCTTAGAGCAACCAGCCTGGTAGCGACTCAGAACATTCTAAGCTCCTCTGACTCAAAACATTCTAGGTTCCTCCACTCTCCCAACACCCATCCTGGCCAAGTCTGCCATCATTATAACCCTGAACTGGACCAACCCATGAAGTTAATAAACTCCTTCTACTTCGCTCCTCTCTACTTCAAAATCTGTTGCCTTACCCATCCTCTCTCTTGTCTCTTAAGAAGGGCATCACCTCCTTGCCATGACTACCCCTTCTAACTCTGCTCTAATAAAATAAAGAGCTTTTATGTTGGACAGACCTGAGTTCAAATTCTGTTGTTTCTAGCTAAATATCCACTTCACAGGTTGGTTGTGAAGCATGCACCTAGTTGGAACTCAATTATTCTCCTTGCCCTAGACCCTACACTGCCTTCTGGGATCTCGTCTTGTGTTTTTTTAATCATGGGCTAAATTCTTCCCCTTTCTTGGACATGAGAGATGTATCTGAGAAAAACTGTCACCAATTCTAATTAACTTTTGAAGGACAAATTAAATGCTGTTTATAAGTTAAAGAATAAATATACGTTATGAATCCTCTAAAAAATTTTTTTCTCTTTCTTCTTACAGTTTTCTTCTTAAATTTCTCTCATACTCATCTCCCCTTCTCCATTCATCCACCCTATCAGTGCCTTGGCTTCAGATCCCTCATTATTTTTCACCTACGCTACTCACAACAGCTTCCAAACTCGCTCCTCTACATCAGTGGTTCTCAAAATGTCGTCCAGGGAATCCTAGGGCTCCCTGAGACTCTTTCAGAGCATATGCAAGGTCAAAACTATGCTCATGATAATACTAAGATGTTATTTGTCTTTTTCACCCTCATTCTCTCACGGGTGTACAGTGGAGTTTTTCAGAGGATACATGACATGATATCAACACGCAGAAGCAGATTTGAGGATTCAGTCATTTTCTATTAACCCAGACGTTAAAAGGATTTGCACAAATGTAAATGTCACTCTTCTCACTAAATTTTAGTTTGAAAATACTTATTTTTCATAAAAATTGTTACTTATGCTAACACGTAATGGGTTTATTATTGTTATTTCTCAATGAATAAATATTTTTAAATTTTCTGTTTTAATTTATAATATAGTAAATATTGATAAATATAAACCACATAAATAAAAGCTCTTTTGGGTCCTCAATAACATTTAAGAGTATAAAGGGGTCCTGAGTCCAGAGTGTTTACAAAAACTGTTCTACACCAATCTTGACCTCTGAAGTCTATCCTCCACATCCCAACCCTAAGTGATATGTCTAAAATACAAATCTGCCCATGTCATCCCCTGCTCAAAATTCTTCAATGAAATGTACAACCACAGGAGAATGGATAAATTGCCGTATATTCATACAACAGAATACTGGAAAGCAAGTAAAATGAATGAACGACAGCTACATATATCAACATGGATCTCACAATCATAAAGTCTGAGAAAAAAGTAAATTGAGAAGAATACATCTAATATGATTCCATTTATATAACATTCAAGAATACGTAAAACAATACTATATATTGCTTAGTGGGGCATACCTATGTAATAAAGGGATAAAAATACATGAGGATGATAATCACCAACTTCAGGACAATGGCTAGCTCTGAGAGGGAAGAATGGGAATGTAACTGAGGAGAGGTATACAGGAGGCTTCAAATATATTTGTAATATTTTATATTTTTAGTATGAACACATAATTGTTCATTATAATATTCTCTATATCTTTTGCTACATTTGAAATATTTCATTAGAAATTAAATAAACAGACAAATAAACCTTCAATGGTCCCTAGTTGCCTCTGGGGTAAGTTCAGCCTGCCTACTTTTTCAGCTTCATCTGCTCCCAGCCCTTGGTCTTTAGGCTTCAGCATCCATAAACTGCTTCACATAACCTTGCTTTGCTGATGTCTTTCCCTATGTCTGACAGGTCTTTCCTGCCTTTCTTTCCTTGGTCAGTCCCTACTTACTCTTCAGGTATCATTCTTCTGAGAGATTTTCACAAACCTCTGGCTAGACTAAGTGGTCTTCTCTGTGCTCCCAAAACTTCCGGTGAATATCCCTATTGTGACTATTAGATCATTATAAGAGTCCCCCCTTATCCACCATTTCACTTTCCGTGGTTTCAGTTACCCATGGTCAATGGCAGTCTGAAAATATTAAATGGAAAATTCCAGAAATAAACAATTCATAAGTTTTAAATTGTGCATTGTTCTGAGTAGCATGATGAAACCTCAGGCCGTCCTGCTCTGTCCCACCCGGGAAGTAAATCATCCCTTTGTCCAGCATATCCATGCTGTACATGCTACTTGCCTATTAGTCACTTAGTAACTGTCTCGGTTATCAGACTGCCAAGGTATCACAGTGCTTGTGTTCAAGTAACCCTTATTTTACTTAATAATGGCCCCAAAGCATAAGAGTAGTGATGCTGGCAGTTCGGATGTGCCAAAGAGAAGCCATAAAGTGTTTCCTTTAAGTGAAAAGGTGAAAGTTCTCAACTTAATAAGGAAAGCAAAAAAAATCGTATGCTGAGATTGCTAAGATTTATGGTAAGAATGAATCTTCTATCCATGAAATTGTGAGGAAGGAAAAAGAAATTCGTGCTAATTTTGCTGTCGCACTTCAAATATGTATGTATAGGAAAAAATATAGTATATATAGGGTTTGGCACTATCCATGGTTTCAGGCATCCACTGGGGGGTCTTGGAACGTATCCTCCACGGATAACGGGAGACTACTGTATACTGAAATGGCCTATTGATCTTTTGTCTCCAGCACCTAGCCCAATGCTGGGGCAGACAGCAGACATGCAATGCTTGTGGAACTAAGTAGACTGCACCTAGTGGAACTAAGTAGACTGCACCCAGTTTGTGGGAATTTCTACCAAGCTGCAAATTAATCCAACTCAAATCTCTGGTAGGCAAATTCAATTCACCAAACAGTTACTAAGTGCCCAGTGTAGAAAGGCATTATGTGAGACCTGGCAAAGGATTCAAAGATAGGTGAATAAGTGCCTGGGAATAGGAAACTATAAAAGAGAAAAGCAGATGGGTATAGGAGGGTGGGGGGTGGGGGACTTATCTCACCATATATTAAACATTCTATAAAACCAATGTAATCAAATCAATGTGATACTGATATATGAATAGACAAATAGATCTGTGCAATAGAAAAGAAAATCCAGAATTATACAATATAATGTTAGACAAAGATGTTAGAATTATATGACAAGAATTTTTAAAAAGTCATCATAAAAATGCTTCAATGAACAATTACAAACATGTTTGAAACAAAAAAAAGAAATAGAAATAAAGATACAAATAAGAAACAAATGGAAATTTTAGAATTGAAAAATACTATAGCCGAAATAAATAATGAAACAGATGGACTCAACGAAGAATGGAGACAATGGAGAAAAGAATCAGAGAATTTGAAGACAGAACAACAGAAAATACCCAATATGAACAAGAGAGGAAATAGACTGAGAGAAAAATAAACTCAGGGACCTGTGGGACTACAGCAAAATATATAACATTCATATAATCAGAGACGTAGAAGAAAAGAAGTTAGAGTATGGGGTTGAAAAAGCATTCAAAGAAATAATAGCTAAAATTTTCACTAACATAGCAAAAGACATAAACCTTCACATTCAAGAAGGTCAGTGAACACATACAGTATAAACTCAAAGAATTCCATGCCAAGACACATTATAATCAAACTGCTGAGGGGCCGGCCCTGGGGCTTAGCGGTTAAGTGCACGCACTCCGCTACTGGTGGCCCAGGTTCGGATCCCGGGCACGCACTTACGCACCGCTTGTCCGGCCATGCTGAGGCAGTGTCCCACATACAACAACTAGAGGATGTGCAACTATGACATACAACTATCTACTGGGGCTTTGGGGAGAAAAAGGGAAAAAAGGAGGAGGATTGGCAATAGACGTTAGGTAAGGGCTGGTCTTCCTCAGCAAAAAGAGGAGGATTGGCATGGATGTTAGCTCAGGGCTGATCTTCCTCACAAAAACAAAACTGCTGAAAACTAAAGAAAAAAGAAAAAATATTGAAAGTAGCAAGAAATGACACATATAGGGGAAAAACAATTTGAATGACAGCCAAACTCTCATCAGAAATCATGGAAGCCAGAAGGAAGCAGCACAACATTCTTCAAGTGCTGAAAGAACTATCAACCCAGAATTCTATATCCTTCAAAAATGAAAGGGAAATAAGACATTTACAGATGAAGGAAAACTAAGAGAATCTGTTGCCAGCAGACCTACCCTGAAATTCTAAACAGAAACAAAATAATAAAAGAAGGTATCTCAGAAGACCAGGAAGGAAGAAAGAACACCAGAAGAGTAAAAATACAGGTAAATACAATAGCCTTTCCTTCTCTTGGGTATTCTAAATTATGTTTGACAGCTGAAACAACTGAAAAATTAAAACACTACGTGATGTGGTTCCCAATGCATGCAGAGGAAATACTTAAGACAAATAAATACATTACAATGGGAAGGGTAAAGGGACGTGAACAGAGGTAAGGTTTCAACCTTTCCCTCAAACTGGTAAAATGTCAATTAAAATGTCAATACCAGTATACTGTGATTAAAAGATATACACACACACACACACACACACACACATATATATATACATAAAATAAAACTAGAGCAACCACTAAATAAACGTATATAAAACCTGAAGCTAACAGTTCATATGAAAATTCAAGGGGCCCAGAACAGCCATTAATAATCTCGAATAAGAAAAACAAAGTTAGAGGGCTGGCACTTCCCAATTTCAAAATTTACTATAAATGTACAGTAAGTGAGACAGTGTGATACTGTCATAAGGACAGACATACAGATAAATGAAATAGAATTCGAAGCCCAGAAATAAACCAATACATCTATGGTCAACTGATTTTTGACAAAGGTGTCAAGACAACTCAATGGGGAAAGAATAGTCTTTTCAAATAGTTCTGGGACAACTGAACATCCACATACAAAGAATGAAATTGGACCCTTATCTTACATGATATACAAAAATTAACTTGAAATGGATGAAAGATCTAAATGTAAAAACTAAAACTATAAAATGCTTAGAAGAAACACAGGTGTAAATCTTCATGACCTTGAAATAGGCAATAGTTTCTTAGCTATGACAGCAAAGGCACAAGCAAACAATGAAAATACATAAACGGGATTTTCGTGCTTCATAGGACACTATCAAGAAAGTGAAAAGACAACTCCCAGAATGAGAGAAGATATTTGCAAATCACATATCTGATAAAGGTCTAATATCCAAAATATATAAAGAATTCTTACAACTCAATAATAAGAAGAAAAATTACCTAATTAAAGAATGGACAAAAGTTTTGAATAGACATTTCTCCAAAAGAAGATATACAAATGTCCAGTAAGCATATAGAAAGATGCTCAACATCAATAGTCATTAGGGAAACACAAATTAAAATCTCAATGAGATACCACTTCATACCCACTAGGATGACTATAATCATAAAGACAGACAAGAACAAGTGTTGGGGAGGATGTGGAAAAATTAAGACCCTCATAAATCGCTGGTGGGAACATAAAATGGTGCAGCTGCTTTAGAAAACAGTTTGGCAGTTCCTCAAGAAGTTAAACATAGTTACCATATGACTCAGCAATTCCTCTCCTAGGTATATACCCAAGAGATTGAAAATATATGTTAACACAATAACTTGTACATGAATGTTCACAGCAGCATTATTCATAATAGCCAAAAAGTGAAAACAATCCAAATGTCTATAAAATGATGAATGGATAAATGTGGTATATCCACCCAATGGAATATTATTTAGCCATTTAAAGAATGAAGTACTGATAAATGCTATAACATGGATACCTTGAAAATATGCTGTGTGAAAGAAGCCAGACACAAAAGACTACACATTGAATGATTCCATTTATCTGAGATCTTCAGAACAGACAAATCCACACACAAAGAAAAGTACAAAAGTGTTTGACAGGGTTGGAGGGAGAGAGGAATGGGGAGTGACTACTAATGGGTACAGGGTTTCTTTTTGAATTGATAAAAATTTTCTAGTATTAGACAGTGGTGATGGTTGCACAACCTTGTGAATATTTTTTTAAAAAACTGAACTGCACCCTTTAACATGATAAGTTTTATAGTATGTAAATTATATCTCAATTGTTTAAAAAGCACATTTAACTAAGTGAAAATGAAAATACAACATATCAAAATATGTGACACAGCTAAATCAGTGCTGAGGGGGTAATTTATAGCACTTAATGCTTACATTAAAAAAGAGGAAAAGTCTGGAATCAATAATCTAAGCTCCTGTCTCACGACTGGAAAAAGAGCAAAATAAACCCAAAGCAAGCAGAAGGAAGGAAAAACAAAGATAAAAGCAGAAATCAGTGAAATCAAAAACAGAAAGACAACGGAGAAAATCAATGAAACAAAAAGTAGTTCTTTAAAAGGTTCGATAAAATTGACAAACCTCCATCAAGACTGACAGAGAATAAAAGAGAAGGCACAAACAACTAATATCAGGAATGAAACAGAGGATATCACTATAGACTTGGAAGACATCAAAAGGATAATAAGGAAAAACTATGAACAACTCTACACACATAAATTTGACAATTTTGATAAAATCAACTAATTCCTTGAAAAGCACAAACTATCACAACTCACCCAGTATGAAATGAAATAAATAATTTGAATAGCCTAACAGAGTTTATGAAAATTTAATGTTAATTAAAAACTTTCCCAAAAAGAAATCTCTGGGTCCATTTGATTGCACTAGAGAATTCTACCAAACATTTCGAGAAAATTTAACACTAATTCTGAAATTAAGGAATTAAGTAATCAAGGAAATTCTAAATAAATGGAGAGACCTAATGTGTTCGTGGAAGACTCAACATAGTAAAGATGTCAATTTTCCCCAAAAGGACACAACTAGGAGGACTTTTTCAAAATACACACACTCAGATCCCACTCCAGACCTACAAATTCATAATTCTAGGGGTGAAGCCTAGGCATGTATTATTTAGGGAAAAAAGCCCCAGGTCATTTTTATTTATAGCCTACAATGCCAGCCTCCCGGTCACTATGCCTAGAGTCATGGGGCTGAGAGTGCTGTTCTTTATCTGTCCACTAAGTTGACACGAGCCCAGTGCAAAGGAGTCATCGACCTCCTCCTGGACTTCCCCACTTGTAGCCTTCCCAAGTGACCATGCTGGCCCCTGGCCATCACATGAATTTTCTTGAGGTCCAGTTTTGAGCCTTCAGCTGATATGAGAGGGATACCCCACATAATTAGATCAACACATTATGGGAAGGGGTTGACTCTGGTGCCACAAGCCCCCTTCCTCTTTCTGTCCTCCCCAAACTCTCCTCAAACTCGCCCAGGGAAGACCTGTAGGAATGAAAAGTGTCTGTCCTTGCTTCACGGAACACTTGTAGCACTTGTCCACCTGGTCCCCAAAGAACATCTCATTCTGGTTAGAGGAGCTGCTCCAGCACTCAAAGAGAGTCAGGTTGGCATTTGTTGGGCGAATCAGGTAGAAGATCTTTTCACCCTGAAACAGAAAGAGGTTGAAGTGCCAAAAATAGCAAGGGTTTCTAGAAAAGTCCTCCAAGGGTTCTCCAAAAGGATATTCCCTCTCCCATGCTCCAAGACCGTGCAGTATGCCAGAATTCTTTCGCAAACCCAACCAAGAATCATTTTTATGTGGATTTGGAAAACTTCAAAAGGTCCTTTTGCACTTCACACTTTTAAGCTTCTGTAAGACTGACAAAAACAATCTGGAAAGGGCATTTCAAACAAAATTGTTCAACTTAGGACAAATGCCCACCAAAGGCTCCTATTTTACATGCAATGCCAGCGGAAAATGGCCTCTACAGATGAGTAGATCGATACTACCACCCCAGGAGAATTTAACGCCACATTTTACTGATGAGAGGAAAATTGATTTTGCCTTTAAACGCCATTTACAGAGAGTGTTCCTTCTCACACCTGTAATCAAAGCTAATAAAAATTTAAAAGTTCAGTTATCACCTGAGGACTTCTTGAAGATTATGTGTTAGGTGATTATCTGTTGGAAGAATATTTTATTTCCTAATCATGTTTTGCCTGGGTAATCACCAGGTAGATAATTTGGCAGAAAAGAAACAAAAATTCACTAGCACAAAAATATCCCCAACCCACAGTTTAACCAATATTTCATGATAATAAATTTCAATGTAGAAAAGCAACAACACTAGAAATTATCTATTGTACAATTGGAAAAATTTGAATCAGATCTGTAGATTAGGTTGTACTATTATATTAATATTAATTTCCTGATTTTGATAACTATACTGTGGTTAAATAAGAGAATGCCCTTGTTTTTAAGAAATACACACTGAATTATTATGAGATAAAGGGACATCATGTATGCAACTACTCTCAAATGTTTCAGAAAAAAAATATATATAACCATTTTATGTTTGCTTTACAGAAAGAGAGAATATAATAAAATGGCAACATTTGGGGAATCTGAGTGAAGGGCACACAGGAATTCCTCCTATTATTTTTGCAAATTTCCTATAAAAAAGAAATTATTTAAAAATAAAAAAGTTAAATCTAACATTTACATAATAGCGCTTTCATGTGTAATTACATGCTCAAATTTCTTCATGATAAACCAAGGGAAACAACTGCTAGTCAAGGGTTTGTGATCATTTAGAAAAGAGCCATATCCAAGTTTTCTGCTCTTTCCTTGGCATTTCCAATAAGAAAACTAAATAGGGCCGGCCCCGTGGCTTAGCAGTTAAGTGTGCGTGCTCCGCTACTGGCGGCCCAGGTTCGGATCCCGGGCGCGCACCAACGCACCGCTTCTCTGGCCATGCTGAGGCTGTGTACCACATACAGCAACTAGAAGGATGTGCAGCTATGACATACAACTATCTGCTGGGGCTTTGGGGGAAAAAAAATAAATAAAATTATAAAAAAAAAAAAAGAAAACTAAATAGTATAAACAACGCTGGAAAACAATCAAAATTACTTAAGAAATTTTTTTTCCAGACCTCAAAAATTCTTTATAGTCATTGACAATCGATATGCTAATTATAAAATTGTAACAATCACTAAAAGGGAAACTATCTATAGGAAGGCTGACATTAAAAAAACTTCTCATATATGCTCTATCTTGATGGTAGTGGCAATTAGCAACTATATACGACCCTTAAAACTCATCAAACTACACACTTAAAATAGATTAATTTTACGTATATAAATTATACCTCAAGAAAGTTGAGGGGAGGGGAAGTTTCTCACATTACCAGGAATTTCTTTAGTAAATACGGACATTTCCATACACAGTGGTAGGCGTATAGATTGGCTCAATTAAGAAGATAACAGTTGAGGGGCCAGCCCAGTGGTGCAGCGGTTAAGTGCTTGTGCTCCGCTGTGGTGGCCTGGGGTCTGTAGGTTCGGATCCCGGACGCGCACTGACACACTGCTTGTCAAGCCATGCTGTGGCAGCGTCCCATATAAAGTGGAAGACAATGGGCACGGATATTAGCCCAGGGCCAATTTTCCTCGGCAAAAAGAGGAAGATTGGCATCGGATGTTAGCTCTGGGCTGATCTTCCTCCCAAAAAAAAAAAAATACAAGAAGATAACAGTTGAGCCAGCCCTGATGGCCTAGTGGCTAAAGTTCAGCGCACTCTACTTCGGCAACCTGGGTTCGGTTTCTGGCTGTGGAACCACACCACTCGTCTGTCAGTAGCCATGCTGTGGCGGCGGCTCACATAGAAGAACTAGAAGGACCTACAAGTAGAATATACAACTATGTACTGGGGCTTCGGAGAGGAACAAAAAAAGAGAGGAAAATTGGCAACACGTGTTAGCTCAGGCAACTCTTTCTCAGCAAAAAAAAAGATAGTTGAAGAAAATCATAGGCATCTGCTGTTATTCAAAAAAATGTAAAGTAGCATCAAAACTACCTGTTAAGCATCAAAACTGTAAAGTAGAGAGAGTTTATATGGAATATCCACTAAGCACTCAACCTTGATAAGGCAGTTATGTGGAAATGTCACCCAAACAGAATCTGGGAAGCAGGTAGGCCTCAGCAGCCTGTTCTGTGTTGTCACCTGAAACAAACAGGGAGGCCCAAGGCCTGGCTGCCTCCAGAAGCCATATCCATTCCCTACCTTGAGCACATGGTACCAGACTGAGGTGCCGCCAAAGTCAATGTGAAAGTCTGTATAGCTATCCCGCACGCTCATAAGGCAGTACTTCTGCACATTGGGCCTCTCAAAGATACACTCCTCCGGCCACAAGTTCTCCACCCATGAGAGCTTCCGAACAATCTTGGGTGTCTCCACAAGGTTAGAAAGCCTATCAAGGAAGAGGTGGAGGGCAGATGTCAGCTGATTGGGAATTGAAAGTTGAAGCCTGAATAAAATGCCCCCCATCCCAGTGAGAGTCAGATAGGACAAAGAAGTTCTCTCCACAGAATCCCTAAGGGCACATAGGACACTTATTTCTATAAGTCTGGTCAGCATCCTCATTCCACTCAGCTCTAGAAGTCCCAAGTCCCAGCTCCACAGTCTTCCCCAGTCAAAGGTGATCATTTCCTCCACTAAATGCTCATACTCCCCCAACAAGGCCCACTCACATGGCATTTAATTTATAATAGTTATTGTACTGTGCCCATCTCATAGAGTCTTCTTTATGAGGAACCATTAGAGAAACCTCTCAGGGCTCAGTTCCAGATAAAGAAGTGTGTCTCCCAAACATCTGGTTGTATTTATTCTATGTAAAACCACAAATCTTATAATATTGCACTCCTTTCTTTGTTCTGACCTTCAGGAAATTCAGTGAAAACTCTACAGTCCTTCTCCACCAACTATCTAGACATTCATACATGCATTTTATGTGCAGATTACCCACGAGACGCAACCTATTTTCCCACCTTTATTTTCGTTTTGTTCCAACTTTCTTTTTTTCCTCTCTGCATCTCTATAAGCTACTTCAGTCTTTCAAGATGAAGTGAGGTATAAATGAACAGTTTTTTTAAACACTCTCAGGTTGTTTAACTTTGCATGTTAAAACCAACAGCAAGGGTTTTAAATACTGTACTATAGTTATGTAAGATGTTGTCATTGAGAGAAACTGGCTAAAGGATAAACAGGACCTCCCTGTACATTTCTTTGCAACTTCCTGTGAATCTATAATTACGTCAAAATTAAAAGTTAAACCAACACATGGGCAGTGAAAACTGTATTGTGGTTACCAGGGGCAATGGGGGTAGGGGGTGGGCACAAGGGGTGAAGGGAGACATATATATGGTGATGGACAAACAAAAGTGTACAACCCAAAATTTCACGATGTTATAAACTATTAAAACATCAATTAAAAAAAAAAGTTAAGTAAATAATCAGACAGTACACTTTCTAAGTGCAAAGAGATATGTTATGATTTTTTGGGATCTCCCATGGTTCTGAGCATAGAAAAGATTACATATATCTATTGAGTGCATGAGTCCAACAGAATTATTTAAAGGTTATAAGCTTTTTTTCTTTTTAAATCTAAGAAACCTTATCCTTAGAGAAACTACTTGGCAGTAATTTTAGTAAGTCTGTTTCCAGGAACAGAGGATCTATCCCTGGGAGTTAAACAGTGACCATGCCACAATCTAAATACCAGAAAAGAGTCTAAAAAAGCTGTCCTAGGTCTTGAAAGAGACAAAAATTAATTAAAATAGCTACTGTATAATCTATCCAATGCTAGAAATTGTACAGGAGAAAAGGATTTTGTTGTTATAATGTGAGCAGCTACCCTAGAAAGTATAAACCAGCTCCCCATCCCAAAGGAAGAAACCACCAGGAGGAAAGGAACACTAATACATACTCAGTCTACCACAAGTTCCAGGCACTTTGTCAGGCTTTTTACTTACCCCTGCCCCTCCTACCTGGTATCGGAGAATTCCAAACTGATGACATTGAGGACTTTCTCCCTCTTCCCGCTGTAATAATATTTCACAAAATCACCAAGCTTCATCTTGCAGTCGGCCTGGCGGGTCACATCAATTACATCAATTTCTTTGTCTGAACCTGGAGTAAAGAAATGGCTTCTGCACCAAGTGGTCTCAAGGACCACAGAAGACTCTCTGGTCCCCTCACCAGTCCCTAGAATAGCCTTACACTCAAAACTTCTCAGACACTGTATTTGTATGTGCTTGTTTGGGAGGTGGAAGTAGGAATCCCTCACACTCTCCTTAGACCTACATGCCAGGTCTAGGCCTGCTAGGGCAACAAAACTACCTGACACACAGCCTCACTCACAGTACAGTCCACCTGCTTGGGCCCTGCTTCCTCACTTCTTTTCTTCCTTTTCCCAAAAACTCATGCCCTGATGACAACTGGAATGTGAGGGCAAAAGTCAAAGGCTTTCTCATCTCAACAGAGGACAAAGAGACCACCATGATCCCAAGAATTCCCCAGGTAAAAAATAGGGCTCAGTCTGGGGTTTTGTGGTCTATCAGCAGGACAAGGAAGAGAAGACCAGGATTTTGGTTCTAGTTTTGCCAAATGACTCTGGGCAAGGCACTTCACCTCAGATTCCCAAGATGGCTAGAAAGGGAAGGCAAATGGTATACTGGAGGGGAAGGGTCACAGGTCTTGATGGGAGTGAACAATGTCACAGTTAAGAGGGTCTGTGGTACTTACCAACATAGTGTTCCACATCCCTCACAGTGAATGATGGTGAGGGCAGCGTCATCCCCAATCCATCCTTCTTCAAGACTAGGATCGGCACACTGAAGCTATTCTCTTCCAGGAATTCCACGGTCAGCTGACTTCCAGTGGGCTTCAGAATCACTTCATCTGAGCTGTGGGCCACAGGAGAGAAAGCCCGAGTCCCAGAGGCTCTGCCACTAAAGGCCTCACTGGATGCTGCCACTCAACCAAGGGGTTTTCCTGAGGGGACCTAATGTGGCTAGCAACTAATGGCATAAACCTCATGTGCCAGGGAAGACATGACTTATCCAAGGCAAGAAGCCAGGTCACTGGCAGAGGTGGGTAGCTAAACCCAGGATATTCTGTCAATAGGATGCTCTTCTCTGGATGACAAAGGAAGAAATCAGTCAATAGCCTGCCCAGAAAGAAAAGACATATCTGACAAGTTTATCATATTTACTCTAACCCAGAGCAGCATCACCCCATCTAAAACACTGGCAAATAAAGAGAAAAGACTGATTTAAAGAAAAACAATTTTTACAACCACTTTCTCTACACACGTACTTAGTTAACTAGAAAACAGGAGTTTTTTAAAAAATCATTCTGGAGAAAAGATAGACTATTTGACAAGTTGTGTTGGGACAAACATCTGGAAAAATATTAAGCTCAATGTCTATCTCATTCTCTACATAATTCTAGATGGATCAAAGATTGAACTGGAAAAAATAAAGCCATAGAGTAGTAGAACAAACATGAGACAAACAAGGCCTAGTAGTCATTAAAATAGTAATAAACAAATTTAACTACATAAAAATTAAAATTTTCTGCAAGGAAAGCTATTATAAATCAGCAAGAAATCATCAGTAACCCAAAAGAAAAATCGTCAAACAACATAAGCAGGCAGTTAATAGAGAAAGAAATAAAGATGACTTATAATGTACAAAAATATATATATACCTCCTTCATAATTCAAGAAATATAAGTGGAAGCAATACTTCATTTTTTCTTTTCTTTTCTTTTTTTTTGTGAGGAAGATCAGCCCTGAGCTAACATGTGCCAATCCTCCTCTTTCTGCTGAGGAAGACTGGCCCTGGGCTAACATCCGTGCCCATCTTCCTCCACTTTATATGGGACACCGCCACAGCATGGCTTGACAAGCCGTGCATTGGTGCGTGCCTGGGATCCGAACCAGCGAACCCCAGGCCACCGCAGTGGAGCACGCGCACTTAACCACTTGTGCCACCGGGCCGGCCCCAATACTTCATTTTTATCTTATCAGAAAGGCAAAAAAAGTTTGATAATAAACAGTGTTGGCCAAGATATAGGGAAATCGGCACCCACACACATTGTCTAGTGGAGTGTGAAATGGTATATCCACTTTAGAAACAATTAGGCAATATTTATAAACATTTTTAAAGCACATACTCTTTAACGTAGTGATTTGATTTTTAGGTAATAAATCTACACATATATTCACCTGCATACGCAAAAACTTAAGTACAAAGACATTCACTGCAGCATTTCTTTTTCTAATAGCAAAATACTAGAATCAATTTAAATGGTCATCAATAGAAGATTGGTTAAATTATATATTCATATAATGGAATACTAAACATCCATGAAAAAGAATGAAGAACATGTGTATGTGCTGTTATGGATTGATCTCCAAGATATATAATTTAGCGTAAAAAGAAAAAAAAGCAAGATGCAAAACAATATAGAGTGTTTCTACTTGTGTTTTTTTTTAAAAAAAGAGGGATACACACACACACACATATATTCATGTTTGTATAAGCAAAAACCATTTCTGAAAGAACGCACAAGAAATTGGTTGACTTTGTAGAAGGGACCTGAGGGGTCTGGGGTAGAAAGGAGACTCATTGCCTTTAAAAAAACAAACAAAACGGGCCGACCCAGTGGCGCAAGCAGTTAAGTGCACGCGCTCTGCTGCGGCGGCCCGGGGTTCGCCGGTTTGGATCCCGGGCGCACACCGATGCACTGCTTAGCAAGCCATGCTGTGGCGGTGTCCCATATAAAGTGGAGGAAGACGGGCACGGATGTTAGCCCAGGGCCAGTCTTCCTCAGCAAAAAAAAAGAGGAGGACTGGCGGATGTTAGCACAGGGCTGATCTCCTCACAAAAAAAACAAAAAACAAAAAATATTAAGTTGAAAAAACACTTATAATTCTAAATAAACTTCAATTACAGGAAAGCTGAAAATGGTCAAATGAATTAAAAACTAAGAAAAAGAAAGTGCTTTCTTCATTAATTTTTCTAACTCATTATTTTTGCTCAATTCAGTAATTTATTTTTAATAAGCCCATCTTATTTTTTTTAAAAAGGAAAAATACTCTTTTTCTTGATTGTAAAATATGTGACCACTCAAAATTTTTTCTTTTTTAAGAGTTTCTTCTCTACAGTGAGAGAATTAAACTTTCTAATCTTTAAGACTCCTTCTAGTTGTAGCATTGCTGGGGTGTATGTAAATATCCTCTCCTGACTTAGGTGAAAACTGCCTCCCAATCTACCAAAAGTTTCTAAAGTGGACCTTAATGAAAGTCAAATGAAACTCAAGCAATGTTTCTCAGAAACTTACTAAAACAGAAGATCTCTCCCCAGAAGGAACTCACCAAGCCCTGCAGAGACCCTCAAACAGGGGAGATAGCTAATGGGACAGCCAGTAGAAAAGCTGGGAAGAGATGAGTCCCAGCCGCCCAGAGCCCTGGCGCTCATGAGCCCTTGGGGTAGGGGTCCTTACCTGTCAAAGGTCCTACTCCGGAGCTCTCGAATGAATGTAGGGCTTCCAGTCTTCACTGGCTTCCCCTTGTGTGTATCATGCCCCTTTGAAGATACTCGGCGTTTTTTCACTAAGCCAGAAAAAGATAGGAGACCATGAGTCAGAATGGCCATGAGCTATGGTTCCAAGAGCAAAGGCCTCAGCAGATCCTGCTTCTCTTCCAATCAAACAACCCCTTGGAACATCTGGAGTCAACAAGGCCCTCACAGACTCGGGACAGTTCCTGGTGAGGACAGGTGCTTCCTCTGGGGAATACCCAGGAAGGGAGGGAGGTGAAGCTTTGCACTTCTGCCATCTCAGTGGGGCAGCTGCTGTCCTGCGGGGCCCAAACAGGCTTCTGCTATTTCCCAAGGGAGATGCATCTAAAGCACTCAAGTCAAAGGCAATCTCCCTTCCAAGCTTCCTTTGCTTTGTCTCTCCTCTGGATTGCCTTCTCTTGGAAACACCAAGATTTACTTACTGATGGAGGGTCCATGTAAGATCTCACAGTTGGGGCAGTGGTAGAGGTCAATGTCAGCAGCTTTCTCTTCTTCGACACCAACACAACTAGAAAAAAGAAAACCGGCCATGGTTTATGGAAATTTTTTTTTCATAAGATCTAGAACTGTGCTGTCTTAGTGCACAGGGCTATTTAGATTCAAATTAATTCAAATTAAGTACAACTTTAAATGCAGTTGCTCTATCACACTAGCTACACTTCAAGTGCTCAGCAGCCACATGTGGCTAGAGGTTACCATATTGGGCAGATTATCAAACTGTGGAAATTAATAAAAGAAACCTTAACCAAATTGGAGTCAGGAAGGCCTGTAGGGGGAGCTCTCACACCCTATCATACGTCATCAATTACTCCAAACAGAAAGAGGCATACACTTGCATCTCGGACAGGAAGTACTACTACTTTACTACTGAAGGAAGATTTCTTTCTCTGCCTGGCAACAGCCCAGCCAATGAGAAACACCACAGCTCAGCCAATGAGAAGACACGGCTGTCCTGAATAGTTACTTTCCAGCGAGGGACTTCTGTTTAGAACAGCCCTTCCCTACTCTCCCCTTTTCTCTATAAAAGCAAGCTCCCCTCCTTTGTTTTCCAAATGTGCTCATGGTTCACCATAACATGCACATCCTGAATTGCAATTCTTTTGGCTATTCCTGAATAACTCGTTTTGAGGGTAAAATAGTTGGCGAATTTGCCTTGTAAGTTGACAAAACATTTTCATCAATGCAAAAATTTCCAGTGGACCACACTGGTCTAAAACAGTTAATACAGAACTAAAAATGTACAGATAGTAAAGCTTCATTAAGACTCAGAATGGTCAAAGCTAGAGGAGACTCCAGAGCAGTGCTGTCTAATAGAAATATAATGTAAGCCAAATATGTAATTTTAAGTGTTCTAATAGCCACATTAAAAAGATAAAAAGAAACAGTGAAATTAATCTTAATATTTTATTTAACCAATATATCCAAAATATTATTATTTCAACATATAATCAAAAATTTACTTTATTGGACTATTTTACTTTATTAAATGAAAAGGACTGAAGAGAGTATTTTACAGTCAACAGTGGTTCTCTCTGAGTGAAGGATTACAGGTAATCATTTTTCTCTTCCTTATCTGTATTTTCTAATTTTCTACAATGAACATGTGTTATTTCATATTGTAATACCTAAAAAAAAATTATTTAATTTTGAAAATTTGAGTTTGCATGTATGTGATATGGTAATCTCACAAAATTAAACCCTTCCTCACCAAAGAACTCATCGGTAGCCCTCCAAATAACTTCTGGCTAAGATCAAACTCCTAAAGTCTTTGGTCAGCCACACACAGCAGGGAGCATAAAAATAGGGCAAAGCTCCAACTGTTTCAGCCAAGATCAGGCTCACAAACTGACTTCCTGGGATCAGGACCCCATCATCTTCCAGACTGCTAATCCTATGCCTGTAAACCTGCTGCATATCAATAAATTGGGGGTATCACCATCAACTTGGTAGAATTTTTTTAGGGACTATTCAGATAATGTATATAAAGTGCCCAGCGCAATGAGCACAGTGTCTGGTACACAGTTAGTCGTCAATAAGTGATAACTAATATTATTTTTTCACCCAGTCTAGACCTCCTTCTTCACCTGCCTATATCTTCTTTAAATACATTCCCCAGACCTTGTAGCATTAATTCACTTCCATGGACTACATGCTTTCTGTCTTCCACCTTTGTTAGCCTTGGACACTGCTCAAGAAGGAACCTCTCCAGTCATCTCTCTCTCCTGAACTTTCATCCCACATAGGTATGTGCTTTCTCCACCCCAAACATCCACTGCTCATCAACTTTCCCAACTTTTCTGTTGTACCCCCAGAAGCCCCATTCCTTGGTGAACAAACCCCTCTACATTCACATCCCCTTCAACAAACCCCTTCTTCACCTTCCTGGCTTATCTGAATGCAGCTTCTCCTATGAGAAATCCATTTTCTCTACACCAGTGCCACTCAAAGTGTGGTCCATGGACTAATGCTGGTTCGTGAACTGTTTACTACAGGTCTGTGATGATATAATACAGAAAGCGAGAGTAAGCATTCCAAAAACTTTTATGGCAATTCGGCAAAGTAATTTTATGTCTGTTGAATCTAATAATAAAAAATTGGGGCTATATTTTGTATAGCTTTTTTGTTCATATCATTTTTCTAGTAATTCATTTTTCATTTTACAAAAGGATTGGTCCATTACGGACTGGAAATTTAAAAAAACAAAACACCCTGGTCCTTTGCCACAGAAAGTCTAAAAAGTACTATGCTAGAGCCCTGTCAGGTAGAAGCTGTACATTCTCCCAGACCCTTATAACCCAGGGCTGGGCTGGGGGTAGATGTCCCCCTCACTCTCCAGTGAGACTTCAAGATCATCTCTCCTCTACCTATATATAAGATCTCCTGTTCCTCTGAGTTTCATATCAGCCAGCCATAACACTTCCCACTCCTCTTCACTGTTAGCTACTCATCTCCCAACATACCTCCTTCACTCACTGAAGAACCTGATCACAGATTCCTCTCTACTTCAGGTCCTGCCAACATCCCACATGACATCAGTATTGATGTAGAGGCCCAACATCCCAGCCTCTTAGCTCTTTGAACTTCTCATCTTCAGAGACTGCTGCCTCCACTCCCATTTCAGCTACCAACTCTCATGGCTATCCCCCAGACCTTGTCAACACTTGCAATTGCTCCATCTCTGGAATATGAAATTCATACATCACACTCTCTGACCTCAAGTATATCCATCCAGCTCTCATTCACTACACCTGTTCTTTGCTCTCAAAATCCCTTGAGCCTACTTTTCACCTATTCTTGACTTTACCCTTCCTCCCTATCTAGCTTAGATTCTAGCATTCCTCACTTCAACCATTCTCTAACAGATATCCTCAACTCACTTGTCCCACTCCCTTTCCATCACCCACCATGTGCAAATCTCAACCCTGGCTCAATCCAACTAGGTAACACTGGACCATTGGACACGGCTGGAGAAAAATCACCCATTGGATTGGTGCCACAATAAATTCACGCTGTCTAAAATATCTGAATCACAGAATGGCCAACACAATATTGAAGGAGAAGAACAAAGTTGGAGGTCGGATGCTACCTGACTTCAAGACATACTATAAAGCTACAGTAATCAAGATAGTGTGGTACTGATGAAAGAACAGACAAACAGATCAATGGAACTGCGCAGAGAGCCCAGAAAATAGACCCACATAAATATAATCAAGTGATCTTTGACAAAGGAGCAAAGGTAACACAACAGGAGCAAAGATAGTCTTTTCAACAAATGGTGCTGGAACAACTGGACATCCACATGCAAACAAATGAATCTAGACACCGACCTTATACCCTTCACAACAATGAACTCAAAATGGATCACAGTAAAATGCAAAACTATACAACTCCTAGAAGATAACACAGGAGAAAACTCTAGATAACCTTGGGTTTGGCAATGACTTTTTAGAAGCAATCCATGAAAAAAAAATTGATAAGCTTGACTTCATTAAAATTAAAAATCTGTGGGGCCAGCCCAGTGGCATAGTGGTTAAGTTCACGTGCTTCACTTTAGCGGCCCAGGGTTCGCAGGTTCAGATCCTGGGTGCAGACATACACACCGCTTATCAAGCCATGCTGTGGCAGGCGTCTCACATATAAAGCAGAGGAAGATGGTCATGGATGTTAGCCCAGGGCCAATCTTCCTCAGCAAAAAGAGGAGGATGGGCAACAGATGTTAGCTCAGGGCTAATCTTCCTCACCAAAAAAAAAAAATCTGCTCTGTTAAAGACACTGTCAAGAGAATGAAGAGAAGCCAAAGACTGGGAGTAAATATTTGCAAAGGCATATCCAATATAAGACTGTTATGCAAAATATACAAAGAAATCTTAAAACTCAACAATAAGAAAATAAACCACCTGATTAAAAAATGGGCAAAAGATCTGAACAGACACTTCACCAAAGAAGATATACGGATGGCAAATAAGCATATGAAAAGGTGTTCCACATCATATGTCATTAGGAAAATGCAAATTAAAACAACAAGGACATACCACTATACACCTATCAGAATAGGCAAAATCCAGAACACTGATACCACCAAATGCTGGCGAGGAAGTGGAGCAACAGAAACTCTCATTCTTTGCAAGCAGGAATGCAAAATGGTAACAGCCACTTTGAAAGACAGTTTGGCAGTTTCTTAACAAAACTAAACATACTCTTACCATACAATCCAGCAATCACACTCCATGGCATTTACTCAAAGGAAATGAAAACTATGTCCACACAAAAACCTGCACACAGATGTTTATAGCAGCTTTATTCATAACTGCCAAAATTTGGAAGCCACCAAGACATCCTTCAGTAGGTAAATGGATAAATAAACTGTGGTACATCCAGACAATGGAATATTGTTCAGTGCTAAAAAAGAAATGAGCTATCAAGCCATGAAAAGACATGGAGGAAACTTAAATGCATATTGCTAAGTGAAAAAAGCTAATCTGAAAAGGCTACATATTATATGATTGCAACTATATGACATTCTGGAAAAGGCAAAACTATCCGGGCAGTAAAAAGATCAGTGGTTGCCAGGGGTTAGGGGGAGAGAGAAAGAAAAAGGCAGAGCACAGAGGATTTTTAGGGCAGTGAAATTATTCTGTATGATACTAAAATGCTATAATGGTGGATACATGTCATTATACATTTGTCTAGACCCATAGAATGCACAACACCAAGAATATACCCTGATGTAAGCTATGGACTTTGCAATGATAATCATGTGTCATCAATTGTAACAAATGTACCACTTTGGTGGAGGATTTTGATGATGGGAGAGGCTATGCACGTGTAGGGGCAGGAGGCATATGGGAAAACCTCTGTATCTTCCACTCAATTTGGCTGTGAACCTAAAACTATTCTAAAAAATAAAGTCTATTAAAAAAAAACCTGGGTCATGTTGCCTGATAATTCTCCTATATTTCCCTGCTCAGTTCTCCCTCCCACAGTGGCCATTTCAAATCTCTCACTCCA